CTCTTGGGCTTCGTTATCTCTTCTCTGGGGACCTGTTTCCCACTGCACATCATGAGAGGGTCTATGGTGTAGGTGGGGTAGGCAGGCCACTGCTAGGCTAATCCACCTTCATGCTAGCTTCGTTGGATTGTGCCTGTCAATCCATGACCTTGCACACAAGTTTCTAACCACTTGCGGAGGTTAAAAAAATGTAATGTGTTTGCACCGGGGTATTAGTCATGCTTCCGGCTACAATCGGAGTAGCACACATGTTGATCTACAACCTATGGGCATACTGCACTAAGGGAGGCTTCTGAGAGAAAGATATAAAGAACTTGAATTGGGACTTGAAGAGGTAAATGTTCAATCAAGTGTATTAGAAATAATGTCTGTTGAAGTCTACCGTTCCATTGTGGAAAACAGCAGTCTCTAAATACAAAATTCCATTCATGTCCAGTATGGACGAGTTCTCCAACATCCCTTGCCAAATAAAACAAACTGAGTATCGAAGGATACTCAAACCACAAGTAAAACAAAGTGAGTATCAAAGAATACTCAAAACCACAAGTAAAACTCAACATAAAACAAATCCCTGAACCGAACGGACTGAAATCCAGTTCCGGTTCCATATCTGCTGCTTCACGTACTCTGGAACCCTTGAACCCTGACCCTGAACCCCTGAACCCCGTGCCCAGTACAACTCGGTTAGGTTGTACACCCGTTCCTAGACCTCCCCTCTGTACTCCAGCCTGCTCTGATCGTGCGGTGCCTTGGGCCACCCGACCCTCAGACCCTGTCCGTTACAGCCTACTGGACTATTTTCTGCTGGAGGGGCGAAAGGGAGAAGGGACCACTTTCTAAGCAATTCTGTGAGATCCAACGAGAGGCTGACATGCCGGAAGTATCCTGGCCGTGTTCTTTGCCGCCTTTGGCCGGATCGCACAGCCGACGCCGCAAGGAGCAGATCTTTTGTCCATAATTGCATTCTTCGATTGCGAGGACATACCGGAGGGGTTGCCGAGCCAATGAGGCTTGCAAGGGATGGATGATCCGATCGAGTTTCATCAAATCATTGGTGAACTACTGACAATCTAGCTAGTTACGGCTGTCAAACGCGAGGACACGACACTTTGCTTTTGAACGTCGGATGGGCGGAGGTTATCGAAAACGAACGAAAGGCGGTGCGAAGTAACAGCGCAACCGCCGGAAGTCACATAGGAGAGGTCGAGGCTGGAGTGCAGAGTAATGGAGCTGATCAGAATAAAAGAAAGACAAAGATGATTGTTGTGCTTTCTTATGGCAATTAGTACTATGAATATACATCAATATGACTCCAGTCATTTCCTAGTTCCCCATGTCCTAAGTGACCTAACGGCCGGCCTAAAATATCCATACTACTCACCATGTTGGGGTAACACCGCCGGCAGCAACAAAACTAGATGAACGAGTGATGGGCTGTGAAAATAAATGCCAAGCCCGCTCACGGGCAAGCATAGCACAACTCACGGGGGGGAGAAAACCCCCCACTTGGCCAACCGCACTCTCTATCGCGGACTCTCTCTCTCTAAATAACTGTGAAGACAGGAGCATATAACAACGAGACAAAAAAAACGGCCGACTCCGGACCCCCTGTCTTTCCGGGTACGTCTCCTGAACTCTTGGCAATCGAGACAAGCCGGCGGAGGAAAGAAAGAATTCGGCCACCCAGCTTCCCGCCCTCCTGATATCCTTTCCACTTTCCTTCGTGCCTTCCTTCCATCGGACATAGTTCTCCAGGACTCCCGCGCATTCCCGCGACCGAAGTGCTTTCCTGAAAAGCCGAACTGCGCGGGTGGAAGCCAAAGGGCACCCGAAGCCCTAGCGCGCACGAAACCAAAGGGCGCTCCCGGAGGCCATGTGAGCCGAGCAAGCCGTCGTGAGAGCATGCAAAGCACCACCTCGCGATTTCCAAGACTATCGCGACAGAGCCCATTAGCTGTTACCGACATGGATATGTTGTTCTGAATGAAAGGAAATTGAGATAAGTCTGAAATCACCCGCGGTCGTGTGCCAGGGGGCATTGAGAAAGGCATAGACCCGGGCCATCCTTCCATATACAGTGTTTATAACCTTCCGGGCTTTGGGCTAGACTTAGCCGACCAGGGCCCCCTCGGGATCCCGCCGGACTGGACTGCGAAAATCTCCGCCCATGCGAGTGACAGGGTATGATTGCAAAAATTCTAGTCATTTTCAAAACCGATATACGTTGACGCAGTTTGAATGGAGCACCGGTGGATGTGCCAGCGGTTTCTACGTATCGGTGTCTACGATAGGCTGTGCATTGCCTCCGCTGTGATTTCTTGCAGGGGTTGGGGTTGAACGACCCCCGAGTGTACATCTTGGTTTAAATCCCGAGCATGAACTTACGCACTCGCCTAAAGATCCACCGGGTCATCAGGGAAAAAAGATAAAAGAAATACATTTCAAATTGAGAATTGTTAGTAGAAAGCGTGCTTAACACACTTCCAGTTGTTTGGACTTACTGGAAATTTCCTCTTCTCCCCTGTGTGTATCTAGCCTTAGGTATTTTATCAAATTGGCGAACGTTTGGAAATATTTAGAGATGTCGGTTGGTATTTTCAGGGTATCTTTTGGCATATTTGGATATCTACTACCCTTAGATAAATCGCTTATCGGCTACACCGCATATGCTAAATCCTACGGGGGCCGTCAGGTAACCATAAAGACTGTATCGGTTTCGGAAAACCTGGGCCTACGAACCCCCAGTCAGTCCCGCTTTGGCCTGGCCAGGCCGTACTGTATATCTCCCGTCAAACCAGCGGGAAGCTGTCCAGCCAGTTGTGAACACTGACGATGCAAATTACCACCTACAACCTTTCGCCTGCATTTGACCTCTGGGGAAATGGGGGAAGCATCCTGGGGTGTGGAAGGTGCATCGGCGTGCACTAGAAGGCGGCAAGAAGGTAATTGTTGGACTGAAGTCGCTTTTTGGGGCTCTTCACTGTTGAAATTCGTGGAACTTCCATCATGATCCTCGGTAATGTACAGCAAAGGCTGGAGGAGTTGGGGAAGGATGTGTTAGTGATACTGGAAGTGTGGGAGAGTTGTCTTGAGTTGTCGGAGGTGTGGATGAATGCTTTAGGGGTTAGTGGGAAGATGTACAAGGGGTTGATACAAACCTGTGTTGCACTACGGAGGTGCTGTAATAGTATGATGAGACGTTGGAAGATTTAGAAGAGTTTTAGGAGGAAAGTAGTTGGATTGGAAACGCAAAGAGTGGTGGGAGACTTGGAACAGAAATCAGGAAAAGGTTTATTTGTACGAAGGAGAATTGTGTATATATAGGACACCTCCGGTTAGGTAGAAACAATAAGGACCACAAGACACTCTCTTCCTCACTCGAACATACCCTACTTTTTCATCTATTGCCATTATTCCACTACCGAGGAACAACAACAAGACAGCACCAGCGACCTCTAAGATCACTACCGCATCATCGGTGTCTGACGGGAACCAGGAGAAAAATATTTCTCCTCGAAATAAGCACCTGAGGTGGAACTTGCAATTCAATCAAATTAACAACCCCAAAGCGATTGCCCTGGAGAAAAAAACAGGAGTTAGGAGGTGCCATTTTCTCGTCGTTTTGGGCTGGAGTGAGCGAAATTTTCCTTGGGCGTTCTAGTTCCTGCCTGTTCTCGCTACAAAATTCGGTATATCGCCTACTCAGCCGCCTGTTCAGGACCCGCATCCTACGCGGGCGCCCAACCTCGGTCTGCGGTTGCCAACTACCCTGCGGGCCTGCTTGTGTTTTGTAACCCACTCGTACCCTAATAAGATCCTCTGCCTTGATCATACTCTCCAGCGATTCTTAACAGCCTTGTTGGCAGTCGTATTTCCTGTCATATTACTACTAGTGCCCTCTCCTTTGGCTTGATTCTTGGCTGTAATCTGGGTGCCTGCTAATTCCACAGCAATGGGAGCATTACATCGTGAAATGTGGAGGCCTTAAGTCTTTTGAAAGTGGGACTGCTGTGTTAGGTGATGAACAAAAGAATATCTTATTGTATGTTCTGTTTTCCGTGTAGAACAGGTCAGTTATCTTCATTCCCCACGCACCTCTATTACCGTCACTCCTGATTTTATTGATTCTGGCCTCATCTTCTTGAGCTTCTGGGAACCATATCAGATGCAATGACAAAAAATGGTACCGTCGCCTGGTTGCGTAAACGCTGGATGATTATTGAGAATGTTCCTCTCCCCTATCTCGATTATATACCTGGATACAAACAATATTCCCAACCCTCAGGGGGACTGCCAAGAGTCTTGGAATGGACGGGACGGCCATGTGTAGTCTGTCCGGGACGGTGAGAGTGGAGGATGGATGTCTTCGGGCGGTAGAGCGGGTCCTAACGGGCGAACCAGGGCTGGCAAAGGGAACGGTTGGGGACACCTAGAAGCGACGGGGGGCTACCGCTGACTACGGGGATGTCAAGAGACTGCCGGGAACAACATAATATACCACAAACAACCCTAGAAATGGCTGAAACCTTGTAACTCACAGGGTGATTTTGTTCATAGGATTTAAGGCAGTAGGATAGTAGTCCTAGCTAGTGGGTACGTCCTACTAACCCCAAGGGTTTTCCGCACTAGCAATGCTAAAAGGACGCACTACCAGATATGATTCGCCCCGTCTTACCCCAAAGACGGACGGACTGAACGGTTGGGAACTCTGCTTAACATATTTGCACGCATTGCTGTTACAACACAGATTATTTTCTTTGAATAGTGTCAGTTATTGTTCTGGGTTTATTGAGCAATACTAGCCCCCTAGTTACCACAAATGCATTGAAGGTATCCATAGCTATCTATTGTTATCCCCAATTTTGTTTTTTGATTCCCCTAGCCCGACACTACCTGGTCATAACTTCTCCTTCCCACCAGCGATTCTAGCTATGCTACACATCCAGTTGCTAGTTCAGCCCTGACAACTGGAGGTAGCGAGCGGAATATGGTGTTTCCTGCTAATTAATACCCGGGAGCGGTGAATGCTTTGTGTCATCATCACTAGTGCAACCACCAATGAATTGCGCTTTTGGATGGGACACAAAAGGCCCGTTCACCACGGTCGCTTTCATCATATCCTCTGTAAATGATAGGCGAAACTGCTCGATGGTGACAGGAGGCCCTTGGGGCCGCACGCTGTCCGGAGATAGCACGGTTTGCAAGCTGGTATACGATCCGATCCTCTCGTGGGGAACAACAAAGACAAGTTGTATATTGCTGATCGTGTTAGGTAACAAATCCAGCAGGTCCTTTACCCCAGCTGGTTTGATCGAATGGGACTTGGCCAGAGTCATTTGAAACAAAATCAGGGTGTCCGAGTGACTAAATGCTAGCCCATCAAGTGACTCGTTGTTACAACTGCGGGGGAGGAAATATTTCCCAATGACCCCAACCTTGATACCATGGTGTCCTTCTCCGCAGACTTGTTTTGCTAAATCTGCTGGCGTCGTGAAGTAGTTGAGTGGTGCAGATTGTGAACCAACAATCCGAAACTCAAGGATTGAAGAAGGCTTATCCAGGATTGGAAGCTTATCAGCACTAAAATATCCACCATGTCCAAGCCAATCATGAGCGTATCCTTCAAAAAACCAGCTGGCTGCACTTCGGAGTTGCGGCTGGCTAGAAAGGTATTTGTAGAGTTGGAAGCAATCCCGCTGCGATTGCTGATGAGCCACCTCAAAGATCTTGTGTGCAATCCACCTCGTTGTGATTTGAGTAGTGCAGGTACGACTATCGGCTGAGGGAACCATGAGGGATATCTTGTGTGATGATTCCTGATTCACACTATCATCCATGATACTTAAACCACCACTAGAAATGAAGTGATAAATTTCGCGGTCAATTTGGCCCAAGTAAACTCGCAGGCTGTCATTGTAGTTACTTTGCGAATCTGTAGCAATTATTTCCAGGCAAGTGCGAGCAACAGGACCAAGACATACGAACATAGTATAGAGTTTTACAACTTCATTGGGGGTAGGATGTCGAGCATATGCAATACGATTCTCAACTCTTTTTGTAAGCCAGCTGGGACTGTATAGCAAAAAAACAAGGAATGAATACCTGAAACCAGCCAGAATTTCACCCCATTTCCAGTTATCAACATAATAGACCGCGGAATTTCTACCCTTCTCCCATCTTGTGGATTGGTTCACCTTTGCCGGTAAACTACCCATAACAACAAACCAACTGTGGTCCCAGAGTAGCCAAGATGGGTTACACATTATTGAATCCGTAAGAATCCAAATTTCCCGCTTTTTATCCTCGGTAAGCTGAAATAGGATGCTGGCGCTGACTTCTTGTCCCGCTGTACCTTCATCAAACAGAAAGCATTGGTCATCACTCCGGCGATAGACGGTGGGCTGGCACATCTGCAACCTGCGAGCGAGGAGATAGGAAAGAAAATAACTTTTTCCTATTCTCAAGTCAGATTAAGGGTGTGGTAAAAGTAAGCTAAGAAATCATACCTGACCCGGGTTGACCAGAAACCTTATAATCAAGGTTTGTACCACATTGCGGATCACCAGTACTTGGGTCGGTATTGTTCCACTTTGTACTCGCGGCGTGTTGAAGGTGGCTCTCGATGATTTCGAATTGTTTACGTACAAGAAGTCTATTTCTCCCACATGGAAGTATTGAGTTGACTCTAAGTACATTGAATACGTGCTCTGTACTGGCCAAAACCTTTGGCGGGAGGAATTGGTTAACTTCATCAGGGTGCAGCCCGATTCCAAAACCCGGCAGAGGACTATACTGGACCTCCGGAACCGGGACGGTAAAATCCGTGATCCGAGGTGACTGGTTACCCCACAATTCATGGTAGAGGTCCTCCATGGTAGTTAATAGATGTGAGGTTTTAGCCTGCGATGCCAGAGGGTTTGAGGAGCAGTCGCTGTTGCGGTGGTGTGGTATTGGAGAGGATGGAGTCAGGGTGTGGGATGGGTGGCTGGGCGCTATCGGCTGCTGCCCCTCAAATTCTCTTGCCAAGGGTTACTGCTGGTACCCTGGGAACCTCTTGGCACAGATCACACAACCGCCGCACATCCGGATGACCCACAGTTTGCGCGTCAAGATTGCAAGATTCAATACCAACTATGCCATCCCTTGACAAGCTATAGCTATTCACCCAGCGCATGCGGCAAGCCCTAAGAAGGTAGTATCCCTGGCTCGGGGCCACCGCAGTTGTTAGTCACTGATCAACGCCCGCATTGGGTGCCGCGATACCGAAGTGCGCATTGCCTTAGGTCAGGCCATTGGATTCCTGGCCCCCTCGATTCCACAACCGCCCCGCCCTAACCCACAGGAAAGCAGTTTTTCCCGTCGCAGTCTAGTCATTATACCGGCACGCGACCCGTCCCACCCCACGGGTGTGGTTGGCAACAGCATTCCAAACTGTCCGGGGGCTGGGCATGGCCCATGGGAGGACAACCAAGTGCCCTAGACGGGACTGGATGGCTATAGGCAGTCCGCCCCTGGCAGTGACAGTCGAAAACAGCTTTCCCGGGGCAGAAGAGCAGAGGAGTACTAGGGATCAAGGGGCACTACCCTGGATGGCAGGGGACTATCATGGACCACCAGGGGCTTTCAGGGACTCCGTAGGACTGCAGGGAACTATCCTTTTGTCCCTAGAACTTTAGGCAGTTGGACCTTTGTTCCCTGCTGTCTATCCTTGTTCTGCCAAAAAGACGGACTGCCAGCTATCGTCCGTCACGTCCGACCTCCTGGATAAATGGACTGGGTGGTTGGGAACACTGAGGGTTAATATGGTTTGAGCAACCAGAATGGTGGGACATCTGACGCCTTGCTTTATTTTCAGCTTTTTCGTCATGTCAACCGTCATATCGCTAATATGCTTGATGGGACGCCCAGTGCCTAAGAATTCCATTCCGGTTATCATGCAAAGTCACTCCCTTCGTCGTTTCTCCTTGTCGACATGTCTATCGGTCTGGCTTTGCCTTTTCATCACTCTCTTTGCTGCCCCCTGATTAGAGGTTGTACCTACTCACTAGCCACAAATACTTCACAATTATCGCATCTGTTTAGCTCGTCCAATAATATTAGACTCAAGCCTGTTCAAGTTACTCTCCTTTCTATGAAATCCACTAACTGCCAATCAAAGGTCGAATGAGACTGACTTACGGCTCTGGAGTGTGGTAAGTGACTTAGTATGAACCGTCTTCATGTGTACCTTGGAAGCCCCTACTGTCCCTTCCAGTTTCACCCACCCCCCACCCTCAGCCTTGATGCACGGGGGCCCATCGTACCCCCTACCCATGCCTCGCCCGTCGCCCTGCGTCGTCTATCCTCCGGACTCTTCTCCAAATTTCTTGCTCCAGGCGGGCTGTGGGAAGGTATCCCCGGCTTATGAGCGCTCGGCGGTCTCACAGTCTCGCCCACTGGGTCTCCAAATGGCTGAGTAGACTCGGTCGAATAATGGATAGAATCACCATCGACATCCATGGAAATGAAGTTCGTGGGGGCTCGAATGGAACGCACCAGTTATACCAACATAGTTGCAATGGGCATTGTCGGAATTCATGATGTTTTGATTACTTGCAGATATAGGAATATTATGAAGCTACAAGAATGAATTTAGGTAAAGGGTAGCCTGTTTTAACACCATACAGAAAGAGAGAGCTGGCCCCAGATGTAGATCTCGGGTTGTGATAGCTTGGAAGGCACAGAAAACAGGATTATTTTGAGAGCATGGGGAACTAGCCTCGAACATTCACGATTGAAGATTTTCATTTAGATTCTAGCGTGGTGATACTAGCTAGTACCATACTACGATTATTATGCTTAAGGATGGAGCGGAAACTGTCGGTCGTATAGGAGCAGCCAATACCACCATATCAGGAAAGACTTTGTAGATTATGGGAACCTTGATGGAGGTATCGGGACTGATGAAGTGAATGACATATGAGAATTTTGGAGAGTGTTCGTTTTATATGAGGACCAGGTGTATATACACGGAGCACCTGCGGTAATGTAGAAATAACGAGAACCACCAAACACTCATACGAATATCATCTGAATTTAGGAGTCATGGCAGACTGGAGGAAGTGTGTGAGACAGGTATCCTTGGCAGGTTTTTTTTATTTAGTTAGTTCTCCTCACTAGGAACTATCATCTATAAATTAAAATTAAATTGTTGTTTGCATATATGTTGCAATTTGTCCAATAGGGTCCTGAGTACTACCATAATCTTCATTCTTTTGCTGATATCTACTGGTCATCACGCTACCAATATTCGTGAGGGACCCTGTCTCTTTGCATCCATGAGTAAAACAAATCTTTGGTACAGCACTTTCGTCCTTCAAGACTTCACCTCTGGCATTGCGAAAATAGCCTTCCTGTTACGCTTCGTTTGATTTTCCTAAGATTCTCTCGCCTTCTCTGAACCCCATCCCATGAACGTGTGATTTCGTCTTCTTCCGCTGTATGCTAGGTGACATTGACCCTTGGTTCTAATTTCCAACATGTCTATTTACATAACGTTCGAGAGCCGTTCCAACCCAGTTAATGCAATGCCTATACATATTATAAAGACAAAGGTTCAACCACCCCAGAGCAGTCTCTGACAAGAAGAATCACCTACTGATGTTACAGAGAGCAATTCTAGTACCCTCAGAATACAAACAGGATATCTAGGTATAAAATCCCATTTCCCTGGTTCTTTCCTTATTCAATCTCTAGCTTCATAGCATTGCAAATCACGAGCACTCTGAGTATCTACCCCACATGTCTATTGTTATCTAATGGTCCAGAAACGTGGCCGCAGGTGTTGAACGTTTGTAATGCTTAGAAGACAGTTGCTAAGCAAGATGGAATGATCTAGAAGGTATTACAGATTGGTATATTCTAGCTAGATATTACCGTAGATAGATATTAGTGGGCCAGAAAAATGGGAAAAATGTGAGGAGGCAGTAGGGAAAGTGATTGGTTACAAAAGCGGGGTAAGGGAAGTCTTTAGAATCATGAGGCAAATGAGGAGTAAAGGGAAGCACAAAATTTTGTTATGAGACTCTGCGTATGGGTGAGAGGGAGGATAAAAGTTTTGAGGAAAGAATAAATTTTGATAAGATAGATTGTATCTTGGGCTCGCCTACTGCTTCTATGGATGGGCAAGAGGGGGTTTATATAGAGCAATCCACTTCCTATCCACTCACGCAAGAGTCCCTAATATCTGACAATCTTTTCTCCCTGGTGCCTGGCTATTCTCGATCAGCTGTTCCGAGGTCCTCCAACTTGACCGAGCATGACCGATGACTTCCGAGCACTCCTTGTCATATCCCCCGTATCTTCTTTCCGTTGCACCACTGAAACCTAGAATACAACAACAAAGAATACTAGCAGGGAAATCTCTGCTAGTGTGAAACCTCTGTAGCACTATAGAAGAACAACTAATGCAGGATTGCATGAGTGCCGGTGTTTTTCAACAGAAAAGAGGGGTAATGTGAATGGCAAAGGAGAATAGTGTTGAAGGAATAAGTTATCTTGAGGATGCATATATATTCCAGTGCTTATTGGAGAAGTAGGAAGAGTATGAGATGAGAGGGCAGTCACCTGAAAGAAAGGCAGAATCGAGTTACATAGCTTGTGAGAAAGAGTCAAGAGTTCCAGTGAGCACCTACAGGTGACAACATATACTATCAGAATTTTTTACATTACATAGGACCCCCAGCAGCCGCTAGCCCACAGAGTAAGCCCCCTCATGTTGCTTCCTACCCACTATACAACCGAGAACCTTCACCAACACCTAGGGGTTCGGTACCCTCATCTTGGATAACCAAACAGAATTGCTTCATGTCAAACTTAGGAGCCCTAGGCCGCAGGGAAGATGGGGGAGGGTATGACTGTGGACCCGTACCCAGTCCAACGCCGTATTGTGGGACTATTGCAACAATCTGGACATGTTTAAGCGTTAATGGAAGTGCATCGAGGAGGACACTTATCGAATGTGCGGTAATGTGATGGTCTGTGCCGAGCTGAATTTTAAACAGGATCAGGGTCTTTGAGTCACTGCAGACTAACCCATCAAGGGACTCGATAGTACGGCTGTAAGGGACATAATATTTGCCAATTATGTCTTCTTGAATTCCATGGCCTCCCTCAACTCGGATCAGTTGAGCCAAGTTACTTGCTGTTGTGAAGTAGTTGAGTGGGGTAGATTTCAAGCCATCGATCCAAAATTCTAGCCTTTGGGCCTTACCAGGTAGGAGTGAGATTTCATCTGCTATGAACTGCCCGCCTCGTTTCAGTAAATCATGCACATAGCCCTCGAAGAACCAGCTGGCAGCACTGAGCAGCGGGGCTTGTTGTGTGAGATGCTTGTATAGCATAAAACATGCTTGTGCAGATTGCTCATGTGCCCGCTCGAAGATTTTATGACCAATCCATCTTGTGATGATAAGCGAGTTATATGAGAGGCCACCATCGGTCGGGTGCATAATAGCAATCTTGTGAGATGAAAACTGAGTCACAAGATTCTCTACACTAAGAAACCCCTTTTGGGTAACGAAGGTTGAGATTTGCGCATTCACAGCACTTAGGTATGCTGTAAGGCCACATGTGTATGCCTCATCACTAATGGGAGAAATCGTTTCCAAACAGGTACGAGCTACGGGACCCAGAAACACGAAGCTTGTGTACAGTTTCTCGAGTTGATCTTGGGTGGGACGTGTTCCGAGTCCTAACCTATTACCATATAGTTTGTTAGAGAATACTGTATTACAGACATCTGAAGTATAAGTACCTTAATGCAGCTACCATTTCACTCCATCTCCAGCTGCTGAGAAAATAAACGCCCACATTGCGGTCTTTCTCCCATTGTCTTGAACTTTTCACCAAGGCCGGCGAGGCTCCTAACACAACAAACCAACTATGGCTCTTATCCTCCCAAGCGGGGTTCATAAGCGGCTCATCTGTAAGAATCCAAAGATGACGCTTCTTTTCCGCGGGGAGACGAAATAGGTCATGTGCGGTAATTAACTGGCCGGCCGAGTCTTGATCGAAAAGGCGACAGTTGTCATCTGCATAACGATACACTGTAGGCTGACGTAGCTGTAGCCTCTGGGTTAGCAGGTAGGATAGAAAAAAGGTTTTTCCTGTAGAAAAGTCAGCAGGTTTCATAGAAAACTAATAAGCGAAGAGTATATACCAGAGCCGGGCTGACCAGAGACCTTGTAATCAAGAATTGCATTCCAGGCAGGTGCCTGTATTTCAGGATCGGTAGTACGCCACTTTTGGGATGCAGCGTGTTCCAGGTGATACCTGACGATATAGAACTCGGGACGCACGAGGAGCCTGTTTTTCCGACAAGGAAGCTTTGCACGGGTTTTCAGTTCCTGGAATAACTCTTCGTCTGGTGTACCAAATGGCGGAGAAGTCAATTGGTGATCGGTGGCTTGAAGGGGACCGACTCCATAGCCAGGACGCAGGCTATACAGGAGTTGTGGTACCGTGACTGTGGTTGTATGGATAATTGATTCTTGCACTCCCCACAATTCATGATAGAGTTCCGCCATAGGTTATGTAGGATCACAGCTTATGGTTTGGGATGTGGTAGAGTTAATGTTAGGAAGAGAGAAATCCCGGGAGAATCGAACATTTGTTAAGCACCTGAAAGAGCTTCAGTGTCATACTCGGGTAATCAAAAGTACGTCATGCCTTCATCACTTTCACACCCATTAGGAATAACTGCCAAGCACCAGTCACCACTCAAGTCCTGAATTTCGTGAAACTATTTCCTAAGGGGTCAGGAACTTCTCGGGAATCATATATGTTACCGAACATGAAATATCGTGATTGGACCTGTATATATAAACTATAGATAATCTGGCTGTTGTGCTGCGATACCAGGGGGAATACGGCGAATCAGAGTCGATGAATCGGCGTGTACTCGAGACGCGTGAAAAGGTTCTCGGACCAGACCACCCAGACACTCTAGTTAGCATCAACAACCTGGCAGTGGTGCTGCAATGCCAGGGAAAGTATGATGAATCCGAGACGGTGAGACAGCGTGCACAAGGGAGCCCACAAACACCCTGATGGTATGATCCCAATAGCTGGATATGGGGGAGACTGTATAGTGCTGATGAGATGTATGGGGGAGCATGAGTATATGTATTAGGGCTGTGGGCCCCCAGTTAGTTGGTGCGACTATATTGTATGTTGTTAGGGGAACCAGCCCTATTAGTGGTGGCTTCCTCTATTGTTTGTATTTAGTCTTCTCTCGGACCTTCCGATTGACAACAAGAACGACTCCTCTCTCCTCACCTTCGGTCTTCATCCACCCCTGTGATTCTATTGTCCTTCCTCCACTGCGCCGTGTCTCGCCATCACACCCCAGGCCAGACACCATTCCATTTTTCGTGCTGCGCTATCCTTTCTTTTCGGACCACCGCAATCTTTGGCAAGGGCGATGGGCTGAGAACGCGGTTCGTCCTACTGGTAGCTGGATGGACAAAATTATTGAAAGTCATGGGTACTCGCTTGTCGTTCGATTGGTCTAGAACTTGTTGGTGGCGGTTGGTGGTTTGTATGTGAGTTTCACACTAGCAGAGATATCTCTTGCTAGTATAGTCTTATTTCATGTTCAGTTTCAGAATACGGGAATGGTCTCTATCGGAGGTGTGGATACTTGCTGGCAGTGTTCGGCAGTCTTTCGACAAGGCTCAGTGAGCCGGTTATAGTGGATACTGATATGAGAACCTCTGTCCGAGCTGGACCTCGGAAGAGGGGAGAAATACCGGAAATGCTGAGAGCTCAGGTGTTAGGATAGGGAGGATTTGCACAGCATGTTGATAGGCATTCTGATTGTGGTCTCGGACATCATCGGTCTATGTAGACCCCCCATTACCCCATAGATAGAATAAAATGAGCAAGCACCAGACATCAAAATTCTCCTCCTAATTTCACTCCATTCTCCCACAACCCGTATCCCGTACATCTTTCAATAAAGATATCATAGGAGTGGTCTGAATGTTTCTGCCGCCGTCGGAGACCGAGGCCATCTACTGGGAACAAGAGGGAATTTGCGGAACTAACGAGAATGATGAATAAGTGGCACTTCCGAGGTGTTGATGTGTTTACTGTAATCAAGTTAAAGTTGCGTACGGAGGAGGCGTCGAGAATTTTCACCTTTTCTACTATTTATTGTCCATTCTTTCTTGTTTCTCTTTAGTGCCGCCTTTGTTTATTTTTCGCGGCGAATTATATAGTCTGCACTCCCACCCCGTAAGATCCTTGTAGCCGCTCTCCCGATCGGTGAAATCATGAGAAGTCACTCGCTTGTGATCCTTCAAACTTGAGGGTGCCAAGGAACAATCCGAGTTACCCACCAGCCTCCCATCTCCTACCTACGGTAATTACCTAGACTGTTTCACCCAGAGGTATAATATAATTGTACATGTATTGTACCCCCCCACTTCGGCCTAAGGCCCTGACGCAGATGAAACACTTGACATGATAAACTCTCAATCGCAATCTGCTCACTTTCGAGCACTAAAGACCACCCAACTCCCTAACAGTTGGGAGCACGGATATCTTGTCTTCAGGTCTAACGCGGCCATCTCGGGCTTTTCCAGGAGTGGCCCTGGCAGAACTGCAGATATCTCCTTTCTGCAGAGTGATCTGCCATGATTGCCACGATTCGGAGAGCTTTCACAACACGTATATACATTGACACAGAGTTGGCAGAGCGCAGGTAGATGCGTCCACAGTTTCTACACCCATGTGTCTAGAATAGGTGTCATGTTGTCTTCGTCATGATTTCTTATGGGAGTTGGGGTTGGATGAACCAGGGGTGCAGATCTTGGCTTGGGCCCGGAGCATAAGATCATGTACTCCCCTAAATATTTGTGCCCAGCCGGGTCACGAGGGCGAAAAGGAAAGGAAAAGGGTTGCGGTTCGAGTTGTTAGTATAAAGTGTGCCTAGCAAACCACGGGGCCACAGAAAAGCTAGGAGGAAGAGTGTGGAGAATTCGAGGTTTTGGGGGGGATGATGGGGGTAGACAGAAACGTCTTGGTAATCACATATAATTGTTAACTTGAGAGGAACCTGCCTACTGCCCTGTTAAGAAACATATCGGATGCTACGTAATTGGAGAAGCATCCACACACTTCTATGGAAAATAACGCGGGGGAATATTGACAGTTGGAATGAGAAAGCGTATAGCGAACGATGAAACGAGTACTGAGGACAGACTTGTAAATCAGTTGCCTGCTCTTCATATGGCTGTGGCCAGAGAGGACCCTTTAAATACATAGGTCAATCACCAACCCTTCCGGGAGTCTCTTAAACATGATCACGCCATTACGGTATTTTCGCACACCATTTCCTTTCCCCTCTTTCCCGCTCTTCTGTCCTGTTTCCATGTACCTTGTTTTCCCCTCACTTCGCATACTTTACCGAGTACCAGAGTCCAGTGATTCATCGGGTACTCTTCTCGCATCTTCTAACATATATTAGGTAAGGACTATGCCCGGATAAGCACCGGTGGTTAACAACTTCTAGCTCTTTGAACTCATTGGAAATGCTATCTTATTTTCTTTGTGTGTCTAGCCTCAGGTATTGTATTAGATTAGCGGATATTTAGAAATATTTGCGGATGTCAGTTAATATTTGAACATACCTATCAGAACCCTCCGATATCTTGCTACCCATCGACGAAATACAGTCACACCCCGCTATCCCGGATCTCGATAATCCGGATACCTCGCTGTCCCGTATGAATTTCTGTGAGCTTTGGATTTATTTCCACCAAAACCTCACCCATTGTCCCGGATCCCTCGCTGTTCCGGACAGATTCTCCGGATTTTGGCCATCCGGGATAGCGGGGTGCGACTGTACTTATTAACCGCACGGAATATCCCAAATCCTACAGGGGTCACCAGGTATCCATGAAGATTGTAGAAGTTTCAGGAAAGCTGGGCCTACGAAGCCCAACTCAGACCCACTTCGGCCTGGCCTGGCCCTACTGTGCATCCACTGCCGGGGTATCCCTTCATCAGCCACAGTTAAAGAAACCCTTGCCCTGGCGGCTGAGAAAGGCTACGGGTCTGGAATTCTGCCTGGCCTCCTTAGTCAGCATCCCAACCCTTACCCACCCGAGGGCTGAGGCTTACTAACGAGCAAGCAGCGGTTGTCTCGGCAAAATCTAGCAAAACCAAGTCTTGGGAGTCTCCAGGTCACCGCTCCACCCATTCATGTCCGGGCAAGCTGCCTGGAAATAGCATGGCACCCGTTTTCCCCTCCCCTACAGCTACAGCTACCAAATACCACACAACCTCTGACTTCCCTACCGCATAATCTGGCGGGGGCTGGCGGCCGCCCTCGCGTCAATATGGGAAGCGGCTGAGTTGAATCTTACAATTGCGCCAAAACCAGCGTCCCGGAAGGGTTCTAGCTATAGGGAGTTAGGAATGGCATTTCATTGTGATTCCAAGACAAAGTAAAGTTAAAATTGTCTTTGAACCGACTAGCACCTGACTGTTCTCGCCAGCTAATTCGGTTTACATATTATTAGACCGTCCATCCATCGCACACATCCTATACTAACATAACAAGCATCCCCGGTCCATTGTAGCAACGCACCCGGCGGACCTCGCTGTGTTTTACCCCCCGGCCATACCCTGGGAATATCCTCGACGTAAGTCCTTTTATTCTACAACCTCTTGCCTAGCGTGACAATAGTCTTATCCTCAGTCGGATTGCTAATACACCCTCTGAAAGGCATCACCACTGGCCCTTTTTTCTCAAAAAAGTGCACATTTTCGTAACCGTACGACCACTCCGTGCCCGCCTCGATTGATTCTATGTCAGCGCAGGGTGCCAGGCAGTGGTACGAGCCTCCCAGCGCCCCGATTTTTCTACGGAATCAGATGCATTCTGCGTTGTCAGATGGCCGAGCTGTGAAAATCGGAATCATCGCGGGAACTTAGCTGCCATTCTCTGACGAGGGCCTACGCGAGTCGCGAGGCCTAGCACAACAATTTTAAACCTTCGAGTTTTTGCTTTTGTAAGCGTTAGCGGACAATTAATTGGAGCTAAAGAGACATGTACTAAATCGCCAAATTCTTAGCTACCCACAGTTGCATCTTCGTACTCTTGTGATCGGTGTGGGGTTCTTTGCGAGTCGCGGCTCTGGCCGGGTAGGATTTTCCCGATTTCATTCCGAGCGAAAATAACTTATATCCAAGAACTATACCAACACCTTCCCCTTCCGCTTGATCCTCCAACACACCCGGGGAGGTAATTTGTGTGAACGGCTAACCCCTCGTCAATGGGGGTATTTTGTGGTGCGATACGGAGGACGGATCTTTAAGACTCTCTAAGTCCGACCGCCATGCCCGGTGGAGAACAAAAGGTATCTGTTTTTCTTAGTTTAATTTTCGGTGTAAATCAGTTTGCTTATCTGCATTCCCCGCTCACCGATATTATTGTCGCTCCTTTCTTTCTCCTCTTTTTGAGATTCTTATACACACATTTTTTTTGCACTCTACTATAGAATGATATTCCTAGCTATATAATCTAGTCAACCTTTTGAATTTCTGTGCACAAAACTTGTTAACGTACTCCGGGAGGTACTCTGAATCCTTTGGACCCCTCAGGTGTCTAGCATCCTATTTAAGGAGTGAAGGCAATGTCCTTATCCTAAAACCCCCCGGAGGGCATCACCCAACCCCTTTGGATTTCATCAGAAAGCTGAAGATGATACGGGAAAGCAATGCTGCTCTAAAGGAGCGGGAGGTCATTGGTGAGCCAATCGATGTGGCAAGTTTGTCTCGTAGAGAAACACAAATTTGGAGGGCCTCAGGAAACTCATGCTCGAAGAACGACGGCATATGCAATCAAAGTTATATGAATAACAAAATCCAAGCAAGAAAATGGAAGCATGCCAGTGATACGAAGACGCCAAGAGGGGTGAGTGTTCATACATGGAATTCGTTAACCTGTTTGGGCGGAGACAGAAAGTCGATTATAGTAAAG